ATATCTAGAAATTCATACACTCAAGCATCAAAACAATAAGGTAATCATGTTTATGGCTTCAACCTAAGCCCTAGCTATGGAATTTAGTTGCTCATACTTATTCCAAATACAAACTCAAAATGAAATTAGAAAGAGTTTAGAGATTTTCAGAAATTGATGAAAGCTTCAAGATCATCAATGGTGGAAGTCTTCTTCTCCACTTTTCTTGGCTGCACCTTGGCTTTCTCCTAGCTCCAAGCTCTCCAAAATCTGCTCTCCATCTGTAGAATGCTAGAATCCTTCCTTTTCCACGTTCAAAAGGCTCCCCAACTTCAGATTGCAATTTCCTTTGGCTTCCCTCTCTCCTCCTTTCCAGCTTTTACCTTTTAATATAAAACTACCACCTTTGATAAAGCCTTAGCCCATTGTCCCCTTGCCATCATGAAGCTTTGTCCTCACAAAGATGCCAATTGCTTCAGAAAATATCAAAGTAATTTCTTGTTACCAAGTGTTATGGTAACAAGAAGAATCAAGATAACATTATGGAGATAAAAGCTGGAGCACTTCGGATTTCCAGAGCTGTGGTAACATGCTGGATTGGTTGGATAGGCAATACTTGTCCAATGAAGCTCAAATTTGGATATGTTGTAGTTAACATCCATTGGAACAAGTCTGGGATTAGATACATGCTTGGTTGTTTAAGTTGTTCTTCTATGCTTAATGGGTTCCTAATGCTTAATTTTAGGTTAGGCAACAAATGATCAAATTAGGGAATTAGGAACACAAGGTTATGACCACACCCCATGGCTTAATCATACTTTAGCTAGAATCAATCCGTTAATCTAATTGAACTTGGGAACTTATTTGCTTGAGGTATTTCCTTTTTCTTGTTTTATTTAATGCCACTTGACTTGATTGCTTGTTGATCGGTTCATAATTGTATATCATTTTGTACCCTTCTAGCTTATGATTTGGTTATGTTTTTGAGTTAAACTTGTCTATTGGATAAATCTGGAGTCCGTTACCTAGCAAACACATAACCATGCTCAGGATGGATCTTATCAGCGCGGAAAATGAGTTATCAATTTGTTTTGGCCTTAACTTCCTCCTCCGAGCTTGGATTGGGCCAATACTTGTGTGGTTGGATCATACACATTCTGAACTTCACAATGGACATCTTAAATTCGTCATTTGCTTAAGTGAAGCCCAATTTGTAAGCCCTTGAAGTTGCTGGTCATGCTGACCTCAGGATGAGCTATTGTTTCTGGTTGGAAGCTTGGTCATGGTGAGCTAGGCATGAGCTATTGAGCTGTTGGAAGCTTGGTCATGGTGACATGAAGATGTGCTAGGGCTGCTGGTGGGATCTATTGGTGAAGTGCATCAACCATTTCAGATTTTATAAAATAAGTGTTGTATGCATTAGCCATATTGAATTCAGATTTTCTCTTCCCTTAGGCCTATAAATAGGGATGTTCTCTAAGCTTGTAAACACACCCCAAGGGGGGGGGCTCTCAAACACTTCTCTAGAGCTCCCTTCCCTTCTTTCCCTCAAATTCTCTTAGTTTTGCTTTCTAGTTCTCAATTCTAGCTTTCTTTAATGTTTTCTTAGTTGTAATTTATTTTTCTTGTAATGTACATTCTTTTCTTTAGTTTCAAGTTTGATTAGTTTCCAAGTTTCAATTATGGTTTTTGTTCTTATTCATTATGCTTATAAGTTAATATGCTAGTTTGAATGATTGATCACCATTTAGGCTTGCATGTTAGCTATCTTGGTTTGAATTAAGAGTATACACCATGCTTTAATTCGAATTGAACTATGAATAGGAAGAGTATGTATGGACATTCGACAACAGGGATTAGATACATGCTTGGTTGTTTAAATTGTTCTTCTATGCTTAATGGGTTCCTAATGCTTAATTTTAGGTTAGACAACAAATGATCAAATTAGGGAATTAGGAACACAAGGTTATGACCACACACCATGGCTTAACCATACTTTAGCTAGAATCAATCCATTAATCTAATTGAACTTGGGAACTTATTTGCTTGAGTTACTTTCTTATTTTCTTTTTTCCTTCTTTCATGTTCTTTGTTTTTGTTTTTGTTTTGTATAGGGAAAATGAATTGGATCATTCAATCACCAATCCTCATGGGATCGACCTCGCACTTACATATGCTATACTACCAAACGGCTCGTACACTTGCGAGTATCACAAGTTGAGGATGCAACTGAATCCATTTTGGTGCAGCTGTATCTACACAACACTTGTCCTGCTAGAGTTGCGTCTTCAAAACTCAGTCACTCCAAATCGTTGTTTCAAGTTATGCCTTGAGCTTGAGCTAGGCTTGATTAACTTGATTTTATCACGATATAGTATGTTTGCAAATAACAAAAGCATTATGTACTGCTAAATATGGTTATATGAAGATACTAATTTATCATGAACTGAAGCTAAGTCCGGGATCTACCATCTTAAGTATAGGCAATTAACCAACTATCTATTAGTTTAGTGGTACTTCTCTTCTCAATATTGAAAGAGGTCCTAAGTTCGAATTTCTCATTTTACTTGAGAAGAAAAAAGATATATATATTGGCAAATTATGGGGTCTTAGACCAATGAAAATACATTTGCACCAATAGGATTAGCAAACCTGCAAGGTTATTTTGACATGGTATGTGGTCAAAGGGCTAGAATCAATTTTTTATATTACATAAGTGATTAATCTAACCTATATCTTATTCAGGGATTAAGATCTAGTTTCTTGTCTTTTTGGTAAAAAAGAGGTCACAAGTGAGCTCGTCCATTTGATTTAGTGGCATTTAGTTTCCACTTTGTTTGAGAATGTCCGAGTTCAAATCTCATGTACCATAGTCGTTGAATAAATAAAAAAGAAGGTAGAAGGAAAGTGAGCATTCAGAACTCTGTTCTTGGTGTAAGGCTATATGAAAGAAGAAAGTTGAATTATGTATAGAGGCCAGTGCTAGAGTAGCTAGCATGTGAAACAAGAAAATATACTCAAACAACACAATCTGAAATATGTATATAACTCCAGGTACATAGAAGTACAACAAGCATTACAATACCCAGGAATCCAATTCCAGAGCCTACTTCTTAATCATATTCATATAGAAGCTAAATATATAAGATAATATAGTACTAGCGGGGGGTTGCTAAGAGAGCCTGTGATTGCTTTTCATAGCGGAAACCGATTTTCTTGGAATCATCTGCAGACCAAACAAAGATACCATGAAGTTGTTGCTCACTCTTGAGCCTGTGACAGGCAGTGAAAAAACCATTCTCAGGGGACAGTCCACCACTCCCATCAGTGCTAAAGCTTGCCAAGACCTTCCCACCATTGTAATTGGAGCTTTGTGTCTTGAAGTAATTGATGAACTGAGACACTGTGGTTCCCTGATCGTATGCATAAAACTGGAAATTCACATAGTCTATCAAGTGGCCATAGCTCTTCCACAAGGCCAAGTAGTGGCTCTGAACTTGGTCATCATCAAAGGGAGCAATGGAAGCAAATGAGATCACTCCATTGTTCTTGAGGGTTGTTATAAGCCTCCCAATGCACTCTGAAAAGGTATCGGGATCTGCGCTGAAGTGCTCGTAATCAATGTCAATTCCATCCAAATTGTACTGCTGGATGATGCTTGTGAGAGAAGAAACAGCATTGGAAACCCATGAGTCAATTGAGGAAGGCTTGAAGTAAGCAGAGCCACTATTCACACTGTCTCCTCCTAGGCTCAAGGCCACTTTGACATTTGAATGCTGGCTTTTGATGGAGGAAACTTGGGAAGGGCTAAGATTATCAGAGTCCCAGAAGACATTGAATTTTCCATTGGTAGGAGAGGAGCCTGAGGGGTCATAATCTATGGCAAATGAGAGAATGAAGTGGAATTCAACATTTGGGTTAATGGGGACATCAGAAAACTTGACATTGTTGAATTCAGCTCCTATGTATTCTCTGAAGATATCTGAGTTTGCTGGGGCTGCTTGGATTGATGTGGGGGATGTGAGGAAGGCTTGAAGGAAGAAAAGGGTGAAGATGAGCTTAAGCTTTGGGAGTGCCATATTGCTCATATAATGTTGAAGACTGCTAGATGCTTTCGTGTTTATGTTTATGAGTGAAATTGAAACTTGTTAGCTGCCAGTTATATAGTGTAGCACTCAGTGTGAATATGCAGATAAGGGATATGTGGAAACAAGCTAGTTGATCTGGTTGTGTGTGCAGTGCCGTTACAATAAGTTTGTTTGTGTAGAGCTTTGTCTTGGCAGGATTGCAAGAGACAAAATTGAGGTAGTCATCTAGATTGTGTATAATTTTTATATTATCTCTTGCTGGTAAAGCCCATCAATTGCCAAAGTCATTTGAATTATGCAGTTTAGAAATTTAATATAGGAAATAATCGCCGACAATGTCACGAGAGGTCCCAAATTCGATCCCTCTTGCCCATAATACTTAAAGCGTTCAGTGTATCTGATGATTCATATATGCTCAACATGCTTTATGTATTTTTTTGATCCCATTGCTGAAAGTGAAGGACAATCTTTGGATTAGTAGGAGGTATAACTCATTCCTAAGCTAATCAAATAACTCTAAATATTGAGGTGGAATTGTATTTGCTTTGTGGTTTTTACACTGATAGAATTTTCTCTCTCAGATAAAGCTTTCTAACTCTCAGATTTCTCTCTCTCTTTTCTCTTCGGATTGGTGTCTCTCAAAGCCTGAAGATTGCCTTTATTTATAAGCAGATGATATATGCTTCACAACCAGAGCATTCACTCTTCAACATTAACTCATAATTGCTTCTTACTATTTGTAAATAGTGACTAAGCCTCTAAATCTTCAACTTTCCGTAAAACATGGTATTTCACTCAATGTTGCTACTCATTTTCAACATGTGGGCCATCCATCATTTACAACAAGAAAGATGAATTTTGGGCCATAAAATTCACCAAGCCCAAAACATATAAATCAAACTGAAACAGGGCCCAGAGGAATTTGATAAGTGCCCAAGATACAAGCATGTACATACAAATAGTTCACAAATGATATCAACTATCATGCTATCTTATGTGAGGAATATGACTGATTGAATTAAGAAGGTCAAGTATATAGGATCTCTCATTCTCTCTTCCTTTTTTTTTTGTCCAAAATCTTAACAATAGTGGGAATGTACGAACACCCGATCTCGAATGCATAGGCATACAAATCTTAACAATAGTGGGAATGTACGAACACCCGATCTCGAATGCATAGGCATACAAGACCTCTCATTTTTCGATTTTAAAGTTGTATCAAAAGTCTTTTGAATTGAAATCTCACATTTATAAATTAAACCCACTTCATAGTTAAGTTCATATGAAAACAGACTCAATAGTTAATAATAAACCGAGGTGCTCAAATCATTCAATTGTTGTGAGAGGTACAGTTATTAGAAACTCAAATCCATTTCCATGCCTTATCCAACTATGTTTTTGAGAAAGAACCAATATTAAATCCATGAAGCACATGCAGTTACGCTAGTAGGAAAAGCAAGTGCAGAAAAAAAAAATCCCATCTGTAAGCAGTAAGCCATGTATATTGGCATGTGGAGAAGAGAATAAAGAGGATGTATGCACATGCATTGCAGTGTTTCATAACTAAGCACTTTAGTTAGTCACCATGAAGCTGGACGTCCAGTCAAAATTAAGCGAGATGAAGGTCCGACTAAATTCACATCAGCATTGATATTATCCTCAACTTAGTTACCTAAGTTCAATGCATTAGGTGAGATGGAGGTTCGACTATTGCACCCATTCAAGTGCATGGTAAGATTTTAATTCAAAAGATCTCGATACAATTAGTAGTGAATCACTCACTTTTAACTTGTAACTCAATATCATACTTTTTAGAATGTCGGATTATGTATATCCACGTCTATATAGCTTGTATCGATTCAAACTACTCCAGCAATATATTTCAAAAAGGTAATGTCTTATTGTGTGTATTGTCAGATTTAAATTCCAAAAAAGAAAACATCATTAATGATAAAAACATGGCTGAAAACATAGACGGTACCAACCTTTACTATTTTTTTTGCATGGATAGAAACATCATTAATGTATATATCATTAGCAAACTTTAATTAATGTATTTTAATACTTTTATTTCTAATTTTGTTCAACATCAAAGGCCATATATATGCTCATAAAAAAAAAAAAAAAGCCATATATATGATTATTACTTTATATATGTTTCCTCTTTAGTAATTAAATCAAATTCGTGGGGTCTCATTAGTGCGAATGAGAGATCCTATGACGAAGTAACATGGATGCAATGATGTGTGCTGTCCAAAAGCTGAGGCTCCGATGCTTTCTTTTTATCATAAATCATGGGACCTCATCTCTAGCTATCTTTTACCTTCCAAGCAATTACAAACCATGTTTCTCGGTACACTTTCTTTTTCTCTGCCTTTTTTCTGTTTGTGTTGATCATCAATAGTCTTGAGCTTGGGGTATAATTAAGTTTTATATCATTTGTTTTTTTCCTTTTAACACATGGTACGTCCATATTTAAGTGCATTTTGCTCAAATAGGATTTCTCAATCATTTTTTAAAAACCTTGAAATCGTTGAGAATATAGGAACAAAAGTCTTTGCATTACAAGATCTCGGGCATCTCTACTTATTATCAATTGATTTTGAATTAAATGTTTTAGCTCTATCATAATATTAGGAGCAGATAGTGCATTCTATGTGTCAAGCGACACTGATATAAGATCTTGTGTGTCTCTTAACTAAAATCGTCAGTCTAAATTAGAAATTGAAATAAAATCACGTATTATATACGCTACATTAGTAGGCCTAGTCTACCTTGAGAAATCTTTAATTATATGCCTGAATCGATATGTGTGAATTCAATATCCGTCACAACCTTGCTAGTCTTTTTTTTTTTTTATTGGAAGTGCAACACTTTCCAAACACTTATTGAAGAAGGAACTATTTGGGGCTGGAGTGATTATGGAGTGTGAGAGGCGTGGTTTCATAGTGGAAAGAATCCATGGAAACCTCCTTTTCAGTGTAACTGTCAGTGGAAAGAATCGAAACCTCTTTCAAAGTAAAATGTGTAGTCTTCTTCTTCTTGTATATAGAGATGGAGATAAAATAAGTAAAGTAAAGCCCACGCAGAATATAAAGACATGGAGTAAGTCCCAAGTCAACACTTACACTTCACTGAATGTAAACAAATTAATAAAATATTGAAAAGAGAGAAGGTGGGTATGATCCAATAGCCCTGATCCCACATGGGCTAGCGTGCGGGTCCAAGAGTATGGGATTTTCCAACTGCTTAAGAATGAACTAGTACATATTTTAGGCACTTCTTAGTTTTTTTTTATTGTCTAAGATTGTTGAGCAATCTTTTCATTTATTAGGTGAACAAATTGTTTATGTATAGAGTGAAGTAAGCACGTGCTTGGATAAAGCGGCTGGTTTGGAATTAAAGTAGATTTAGCTGGTCTAAAGAAAATGAAAGAAAAAAGATCCAAACTCTCGTATCATTCATCGTTATCGTCATAACAGAACGAATAAATTTGTTTAAAATCGTTCATGTACATGGTTGATGATTGTGAATACATATGAAATTACGTTGAGATCCGTATGCATTAATCCTAAACGATTGTGATTAGCATTCACATACATAAAACAAATTATATAATATCTTTAATTGGAAGGGGGCATGTATTGCGTACTTATGGCTTGTAGATAGCACATAAAACCTCAATTTTCGTACAGTTAGTGACATCATATGATAAAAATTCAAGTAACAAAGTTCGAAAGCAACTCCTTCC